GGGAGGGAGCTGAGACAGGATTCTCACCTGATTTAGGGACTTAAAGTACCTAGCTCCTGCTCCTGCAGTATGGACGCAGCTGATTTTTGGACCACACCACTGCAACCCTTCTGGATCCACCCATTTGCTTCCTACATTTTTATAACAGCATAATAACAATTACTTTGTGTAAACATTGCATCTGTCCCAGAAATTTTTGCACCCAAAGTGACTAGATCTTCCATTTCGTGCCTCAATAGGTTAAATATTTCCACCATTGGAGTTTTTTAGGATTTTAATGTTCCTAAGAGCTCTATTTGAACTCCTATTATTTTGGAAAGAGGGAAAAAGAAAAACACTAAAACACCGTCACCAGCAAAAGTAGGCACGCAGTATAACAACTGAAATAGGGTATGAGGAAACTACCAAAAATTTAGTAGGGCATATTTACACATCAGGAGTTGACAGGCAAATAATAAGCGGGATTAGCTACTCTAGCCACTAGTAGCAGTACTGCAGTGAAAAGTAAGTGAAACTGAACAATAGTAGAGAAGCAAGGAGTCTATTATGCACTACAATGAAAAAGGAAAGAGGACTCTCCAGTACACTTACTGTGACAACATCATTGATTTCCATATCTGTTCTATATTTGTCTGTGTGAGTTTTTGGCGGTACACAAGTCTGCATGCTGGTACTTCTCCAATTGCTATACTGTGACGTTTATACCACATTTCAGAATTCTGCAATACAGAAAGAAAGCATTTTTCCCTTACCTAGCACTTTTTTCCCAAATGATAAAAAGTAGAGTATTTCCACAATAAAGCAAGCTCTTCCAAGTATTTTAAACATTAATAAATGTAAAATCCCTCTGAGGTAGATAAGCAAGTATTTAGAATGTACAGCTGCATCTTTGCCAGTGTTAAATGACCTATCCAAAGTTGCAGAAAGAACTTTTCAGAGCAGCATCTGAAATATAGAAGTCACAGACCTCCAGCGCTGTATTCAGTCTTAGACAGCAACTCTTCATGGTTCTTAAAGCAGTACAAATACATTTAACTACAGTAATACTTCAGTTAACGAATCCTCTAGAAACGAAACTCCTTTATAATGAACTCAGCTGTTTTTTTGGCAAAAAAAATAGAAGGAAAAAAAAAAAAAAACCTGCAGCTTTTTTTATTTTACCAGAGTAACCTGTGGATTTTGCATTTTTGAAATGAGCTCCCTGCAGGCTGGCAGAGTTCCAGCTTGCAGGGAGACAGGAGGCAGCAGAAGGAAGGCGGTGAGACAGGGGGTGCCACATGCATGTACAGTACATGAACGTGGCCCCAGGCAGCCTGTAAAGCAGCTCCAGTAGATAAATGGGGGGAGAGGAGGAAAGAGGGGAACTGAGGTCTCTGTAGGAAGAGAGCTGGGCAGGGCTGGCACTGCCACTTGGAGGTGCTTGGGGCCACAATGCGCAGCTGTATGGCCCCAGCGGGGAGGACAGGGCTGCACGTGGCTTGTCCAGAGGAGGGCCGGCTCCCCACTGCCACATGCACTTCCAGAGGGTAGGGGAGACGCATGCCCTCCAGACCTGTGTGCGAGGCAGGTGCAGGTTGCAGGTGCAGTCTCCTGCCGTGCTTCACTCCTCTAGGGCCTCTGCCATCCAGTGAGCACAACTCAGAATGGATGGGGACGGCGGGGCTGTGTGGGGATCTTGCTGCTGAGAGCTGCCTTCCCGCTGCCCTGGCAATGCATCCCCTGCAGCCACTGCTGCTTTGGAGGGCACAGCCCCATGCTGCAGCCCCTGTTACGCCAGGGCTGCAGGCAGCATGGGGCGAGCAGCAGCAGGCAGCTTCTCTGCGTAGCTCCTCTGCTCCCTGTCGCACCAGGTCGCGGGAGAGGGAAGCAGGGCAGCAGGGAACGTGGTGCGCAGGCCTACTGTTCCCTGCCGCCCTACTTCCTTCCACCATGACCTGGCATGGCAGGGAGCAGAGCAACCACGTGGAGAAGCTGCCCACCACTGCTCAACCCACACTGCCCCGGTGGCGTGTGGGGCTGCTCCCTTCAAATCAGCAGCAGGCGCAGGGGGCGCGTCACCAGGGCAAGGGGGGAGGGGGCAGCTCACAGCGACAAGATCCCCATGCAGCCCCTATCCCCAAACACACCAGGTTGTGCCTGCCAGGTGGCAAAGGCCCCACAGTAGCAAAGGACAGGGGAGCCTGTGCCCACAACCTGTACCTGCCCCACGCACAGATCTGGGGGGTGTGGATCTCCCCTGCCCCCAAGGAGTGCACACAGCAGCAAGGAGCTGCCCTGCCTGAGCCCACAGCAGGCAGCGGGGGGAGCAGGGGCACGGGGCTGCGGACCCGAGACCGTAGCCCTGGCAGCTGGGGGCCCCCCTCCAGCAGGGCTGGGGGGTGAGGGGTACCAGCAAGGCTGTGGGGATGAGTGAGGGGCACGAGCAGGGTCAGGGAGGCTGTGGGGGGCTTTTAATTGAATATTTAATTATATTTTCTTATTGTACCCCCTTCTCTGAAGTCCTGGAACATATTTCTATGCTTCCTATATTATTTCTACCTCTGATAAAGTTTCTGATAACAAAGTGATGTCATGGAACACATCCACTTCGTTAACCGAGGTATTACTGTACAACCACTGAGAGCCTTTATTTTCACAGTGCTGAGACTGCATTTGAGCGCAAAGGACATTCTACAATGAATTCTGCTGTAAGCAAACAATCATAGTATCTCTTTTTACTGATGCTAACATGTTTGACTGCTAGTCTTTGGAAGGAAACGAGGAAAAAGGACACTGAAATAAGTGTCATGCTCCTTTTGTGGCAGAATTAAAAAACTGCCCCTAAGTTTTAAACTTTTAGTATAATGGCACATGAATAAGTGCTACTGACTAGCCCAAAAAACTCTCTCCAATCCAACACAAGAATAGAGTATAGAGCAGAACCTCAGCGGCACAGATTGGGGCAGTATTTCCTAAAGGCAGAGGTGCAAGCCCAGAAGTGAAAAGGAAGACACCTGAATGATTATTCAAGAGGCTCTGGGGAGAGTGGAAGCGGCAACAGCAGCCCAAACTCTCCACTGTACTCTGGAGTCTTAACGTTTCATTTAAAGAGTCTGTAGTGATTACAAATAGAGCCTTCAAAATGCAAGCTGCGTTAGCAATGTAGACATCTGAGTAAGTGTGTAGGAAGCCTGAAACAAACCAGAACTGCCCCATTCGTTCCAGTGTGTGATAACTAAGATATCAATAACGTTCAAAATTAAAAAAAAAAAAAATCTATTGCTTGAGGAGTAAAAAAGAAAAGTATGGTAATATGAAGATCAGCACCAACGCCCAGAGCGTATGGATTGAGGAAGTATGCACATGCATGCAATTAAACAGGAGAAAGAGGTAGGGTATAAAAAATATGTACAAGTGAAAGTGCTTAAGCCCTTTAGATCTCCTTGGCCCTCCTTGCCTAAGGAGACACAACAGGGCTTTTTTTTCTGATGGGTGGAGTAGAGGTCTCGGCTCCACACTGTCTGTAAAAGGATTAAAGCAGACGGATCCTTCAATTTATCACACCAGAAAACAAAGAATGCAACACAATCTTTCCAGAATTGTAGCATATTTGTTGATAGCTAGTGTGTGGAGGCCAGTGAAAACAAGCTTTATGGGAGCTAGAAAAATGGTAGAAACTGAACAACATTTCTATGCCACACCCCACGCAACACTGTTGTGAAACAACAATTACACAATATAGCAGTTCTAATAAAATGATCACTTTGTTCTGGAATAAAGCAAGTTTATAGCTGTCTTGCAATGAATTGGAACATGAGCCAAATATCAAATATAAATCTTCCTCCCTGTTCTGAACTTTGTGTACTACAATACATGGTAACCTACAGACAGACGTAAGAACACTCACATAACAGTCCCATTAGGGAGATAAAGTCAAAACCACTAGTGAAATGTAATTAAAATTAAAGAACAATTGCTCGTTATAAAACAAAAATTCACTGTGAAAGTATATTGCTTTTTTACTGCCAAATGCTGTGCAGCCCTAAAACAGATCATTAGTTAAATTTACTCCTTTCTATTAACTATTTTCTTTTCAAAACATTTAACATTTTGGAAGCTGAAAAGCAATCTTACCATCACAGTTGGCTTCACTGGAGTACGTTCTTGGGATGTGCCTGCTCCAGGTTCATTCCAGCCTGGAAATTTAATTACTTCTTTTCCATATGAAGGCCTCTTTGGATATGGCTTTAGTGGTGAGGAAGGAGGAAATCTGTAATTAAAAAACACTTTAAGAAGGGCTTTTAAATCTTACACTAGTTCTCATTTGCTATTTTTAACCTAGATCTTCAATACTTCTTAATATGGGCATATACAAATCATCTTCTCACAATGTATACCCAAATACCTCTCCACAGTCAATTTTGATCTTGCTAGGGAAGCTTTAAGGGGGTCTGCAGTCTAAAATATGCTGTTACCATTAGGATCTTTCCAATTATGGCTCTATCTACAATATACAATTAATCCAATTGATTGGCACCCAGATCGGAACACCTGAATTTACCTAATCTAGATGCAAGCATAACTCCGCTGTAGCACTCTAGGGCAGAGATATCAAACATACCAACTTACTACTGGCTCATGGGGCTCCTAGAGGTGACAAATTCAGGGGCAGGGCCTGCTGCTGAAATCCCAAATGTAAATCCCTGCTGGGGATGCTTGCTGGCAGCAGGAGGTGACCAATAGCAGCATTAAACCCCAGCGCTACCAACACCACCGCTGCCACCACCGCTCACCCCACCATTGCCACATGCAAACCCAGTCCGTGAGGTGCCTATAACAAGGAGCCAAAGACCCATGTTACTAAAAAGGGGAAGGCAGAGCAGGCTAGCTTGGCTGCATAGGTAGGCAGGCAGCAGAGACAAGGCTAGCTACCCAGCAATAAGCTGAAGGAATAGGGCAGACCTCTAGGCAGCCATAGGACAAACAGCAGAGTTAGGCTCCAACAGGGAGGAGGAAACTGCCCAGTAAGCATAAGGAAGAACATCTGTGTGAGACTAGGCAGTCACCAAGATGTGAGCAGCTAAGCCTGAGAGGGGCAAGACCAGGGCCAGGGGCCCCAGAAGCCAGAGGCACAGCCAGAGAAAAGGGGCCAGAGCTATAGCCCCTCCAGCCCCCATCCCGTCCCGTCCCGTCCCGTCCCGTCCCCCCCCGCTCAAGGCACTTGGTTCTGCTGCCTTTCCCCTGGGAGCCCTGCACTGGCCAGGCAGCCCACCCTCGCCTTGCATACAAATCTGGGAGAAGGGGGAAGAGGCACATGTCCCCTATGCCTCACAGAAGTTTAGGGCTGGAACGGACCTCATAAGATCATTGGGTCCAGCCCCCCAGCTCTGGGCAGCAAAGACTACTGGGATCAAATAACCCCAGCAAGGCATGCATCCTTTTGGAAGATCTCCAGGGTAGGTGCCTGTACTACCCACCTTGGGAGGCTATTCCAGAGTCTGGTCACACAAACTGTGAAGAAATTTTCCTCCTGTCCAGTCTAAAACCTGGAATTTATGACCGTTGCTTCTGGTTTTCCCCTGGGGCGCTTTGGTGAAAGTTGGTTGCCTAGCCCCTGATGCATTTGTACGGTGACACCACATTCTCCCCAAGTCTTCTCTTTTTCAGGCTGAACACTCCCATATCTGTCAGCTTTTCCTCATACAGCTTGCTCTACAAGCCTCTAATCATATGAGTGGCTCTTCTATGGACTCTCTTAAGCTTCTCCACATCCTTCTTGAAGTGTGGTGCCCAGAACTGGACATAGTAGTCTGGCTGCAGCCTCACCAATGCCAAGTACAGTGGGAGAATAACTTCTTTAGTTTTGCTTCAGATGCATCGGTTGATGCATGCCCCGGCTCTCCAGGGACCTAGCAGACCTCCTGAGGCTAAAAGAAAGGCCTACAAAGGATGGGAGTCACCTCCAAGGAGGATTATTCTGCACTGGTCCGGTCCTGTAGGGAGCATACCAGGAAAGCCAAGGCTGCAACTGAACTCCAACTAGCTTCGAGCGTCAAGGATAATAAAAAGTCCTTTTTCAGATATGTGGGGAGCCGGAGGAAAAGCAGGGGCAACATTGGACCCCTGCTGAACCAG